GCATAGCTATAGATCGAGGACTTGACGCGGTTAGCAGTTTCTTGACGAGAGACAACACGCAACTTTCTCAACCGCTTATGGCTCTACTGGGTTGGGTCATGAGGAACTCCTACGTAGAGTTCGACGGCGAAGTGTTTCATCAAGTGCAGGGCATTGCAATGGGAACTCCTGTAGCAGTGTGTTTTGCCATACTCTTCATGAGCCGTCTCGATGAGCTGTTAAAGGAGAGGTGGACCGGGGTGTCACGTTGTTACCATGTCCGTTACATCGATGATGGCCTTATCATTTGGCCAGGGTCGCGGTCAGATTTAGAGTACAAGCGCACCTTCAACGGCTTGGATCCGAATATCAGGATCACGTGGAACATCTCGGAGCGTTCGGTTGACTTTCTGGACATGGTCCTCCACAAAGGGCCGCGTTTTACTGAGCGTGGTATCCTAGACTTGGGTACTTTTCAGAAGCCGATGAATAGGTACCTCTATCTCCCCTTCTCCTCCTTCCACCCACGGCACTACAAGGAGAGTTTCATCCGCGCCGAATCGAAGCGTTTCCTGCTATGCTCGACCTCGGTGTCAACTTTCCTAGCAACGAAATGCGCCTTCTTCCAACACCTTCGTGATCGTGGTTACCCCCCTGTTTTCCTTCGACCGATCTTCAAGGGCGTCCTATTCGCACATCGTGCACCACTCCTCGCCGACACTCTCGCGAACCAGCTTTTGCGACACACCTCTCTCCCCTCTACACGCGGACCCCTAGTCTTGAAGACGACCTACACACCTGTGTCGGCTCGGCTCGGACTAGGGGTAGTTTTGAGACGTCTCAAAACTAGATTACTTTCACGCGGATTTTATACAGAGATTGTTTGTTGCTTGGAAAGCTGGGTGTAACTTGCAAAAGTTACTTGTTCGCGCGAGGCTCCCTAAGCTACAATTGGCGTGAATTCCACGTTACGCCTCGAGGAATGAAGACCCGAGCCCCTCGGTTTTTTCCAGGGTGCTTTGGATTGGCTGCCCAGATGTCAGCCACGGTTGTTACGCGCCTAGAATTTAGTTTCTCGAAACGTAGTTCTTACTTAAGGGCTTCGTTCCCACTCTTGTCTTTCATTCTGCTAGCGCTGATGAAGGTTTGACTTGGGGCCTGTCCCAGTCGACCGAAACATGTTCGCGTTTTAATCCTATAGTGGAATAAGAGTTCGGTTTTCGGATTCCTGGTTGTTTACAGGGTCAAACTTTTACTATTGTCTATCACTTGCTAAAGATTTTTACTAGACTGCAGCTCGCCTAACAAAGCTTCTATGGATAACATTTGTGCAACTCTTGCTTGCCTATATTTGCATCTATGTTTGCTTTTGTATTCATGGATCATATTACATTTCTTGTGAAGTCCAATTGCTACTTGAATTCTCACTAAGTCCTTGGAGACGAACGCTACTTAAACGCTACTGAGTTGCCGGCGCAACACCATTCTCATATCAGAAACTCTCTCGCTATCGCTACGCTCTCCATAGTATTCCTTCAGGACCACGCATTCGCCTCCTGATAAACCTGCGAGTCGCCGTTCGTTGAACTTCTTCGCTCGGATGCTTGCGCTCTCCGAATTCCCCACTGTCGCTAGTGGTTGAAGTTTCTTTTGCGGCATTCCCAGGCCTTTTCTCACGGAAAGCCGATTGGCTTGTCTGCTGGTCCAGGCTGATGTGGCAGTGACGAGGCTGTTGAATCGCGTGCTGGTGTACGGACTCGAGAACGGGCTGCCCATGCTCTTTGATTGCGACGGCCGCGGCACGGAGATATACCCCACTGGTAAACCCACCGATACTCGCGGGAACCCCTCCCTCCCCACCTTCTCTTTCCCTCCCTTCCTGCTCCTCTCCACTGTTCTTCCACCCAACCCTTGTGCGGGTGTAATGAATTCAATCCTTCGGGTTTATGTGTTTCCCCCTTCCTCCACTCCCATCCATCTTGAGAAGTCATTTACCCAACCCTGACACGCCCAAACCCTGCAGCCTCACACCGCATCGATTCCTAGTGTTTGCGCTGTGGAGCGTGCCCGACCTGGTGCCATCCCTCCTGCTCAAGGGTGAAGAGGTGGCGTTAGAAGCGACTCAGGAGTCAGCTAAGCTGTCACACCAATCCTCTCTCTCACCCCAACCCTGCAACCCCACCCACTCCCCATCCATCCGCAGTGTTTGCGCTGTGGCGTGTACCCGACCTGCTGCCATCGTTCCTTCTCACGGGCGAGGACGTTTCCCACTATCTTCTTTCGGGGGCTGACCTTATGGCGCCAGGCGTCGAGGTATGGTGCGGGTATAGTGCAGGCAGCACCTACCTAGTGCAGTGCGAGCTACAAATATCTTAAAGATTTTGCAAAACTACCACACATGGTCCTTAACCTTCCCTCCTCTCCCCCCATCACTAACCTCCCTCACTTCCCTTCTCTTCCCCACCCCCTTCTCCCCAAACCTCCGCTGTCCCCCCTGGTCCCCATCTACAATGCCCCCGGAAGGTGCCTGCCAGAGGTTTGCCAGCGTTCCAAAAAGAGGAGGTGTGGTCGGTGAAGGTTCCAGGAAACTCCTGCCCCATTGCTGTACGTGTAGTATGCATCTCCCCTTGCATCACAATCCCCCCATCCTTCTTCATGCTCCACCTTTCTCTCCTTTATGCACCCACTGTTCCATAATCTACATCTCGCCTTCCCTTTGCTCTCTCCTGCTCCATTTTCCATCCATTGCATCACAATGCTCCTCCAGTGTGGTTGGTCATGAGTCGCACATCTGCCGTTTTTACCTTTCTACCCTTGTCTCTAGTGACGTTGTGTTGATCTATCTGCTTCCAATCGTCCTTCTTAGTGTCTACCTCCCTCTGTCCGTGTTCTCTTATCGGGGCTTCTTGACTTTTGGGGCGCATAAAAAATGACGTTGTCTCTTCCTATCCATATTTCATAGTGTCTACTTCCCTCTGCCCGCGTTCTCTTGTCGGGGCTTCTTGGCAGTCGTGATGCATGCCTGCTATAGGAGTGAACTTGGTTGAGTGGAAGACAGTCGCAGCACAGTAATGAGCAACGGTAGCGAAATAGTTTCAGAATCTGCTGGAACAACGCTAAGGGTTCTTTCATCTTCACTTTGCAGAAGCTTGTAATGCGCACCAGCTACTTCCCATGTAATGCGCAGTTTTCGTTATTTTTTCCATGTGCATGTGAGCGCATGGATTTGCACACGTCTGTGTGTATGTATGTGTGCATGTGTGCATGTGTGCATGTGTGCATGTGTGCATGTGTGTGTGCGTGCGTGAGTGTGCGCGTGAGTTTGTGTGTGCGTGCGTGAGTGCGTGCGTGCGTGTGTGCGTGCGTGTGTGCGTGCGTATGTGCGTGTGTGTGTGCGCGCGTGCATGCTTGTGAATGTTCATGTTCACGCACATCAGGTGGGCATCACAATGTTGGGGAGAGAATTTGTTATCCAGGTAAGCATGAGAGGGAAGCTCCCCGGAATAACCCACTCTTACCGCGACTTGTTATGGTCAGTATGGCTGAAATTTGAGGCGCTCGCTTAAAAAATCTCCTCACTACTACAAGCTCCTCCAAATATCATTCTGAATCTTCATTGGTCAGTATGACTGCAAGTGTTCTTATTCAGCGTGCTCCTAGCGTAGGTGCAGTGTAGCACTATGGTGACGGCCTGTTTTCTTACACATGTCACCCAAGCAATCTCGGAAGACAACAGAAGCCAACAGTCACCCGAGCTCATGCCAGCACTCTCTCACCCCCCAATGACTGGTCTCTGGTCAAGACAACCCCTACAAATATCTTAGCCCCTACATTGATTGGTCTGTTGTCCCCCTTTGAGTGGTCTGGGGTTTTGACCCCTCAATTTTTTTTCAATGAGGGTCTGTCTTTGGTCAAGACCACCCTTGTCTATTATTGGTCAACCTAACTTCCCTAACTTCACCGCCAGCTGTCTATGGTCTGGTGGTCGAACATGGGTTGATTTTTGGGTCAACTCAAAAAAGGTGGTCCAACATGGGTTGACCCCATTCTCCTATCCTAAGGACACCCTTTCACTTTCTGCCCAACCCAACACTTTGGATATTCACATATGGCCCTCTCTCCCCTGCCCTCCCATCCTGCCCTCCCTGCCATGGTATAGGGAGTCAGCAAAAGGATCATATGTGACAACAGGGGCTTCCTGCCAGATATGGTTGCGCCTGACCCTGATGCACAGCCCACACTGCCGGATGCATCACCTGCTGTTGCATCTGAAGAGTCACCTGAAGGTTCACCTGAATATGACTCTGGTGCTGCTGCAGCCTGTGGAAGGGAGTGTGAGGGTAGGAGTGGTTCAGAGAGAGGGGCAGCAGCGGTGGCTGGGGAGGGACTAGCAGCAGTAGCAGCAGCAGGAGGAGGAGAAGCAGGAGTAGGAGAAGGAGCTACAGCAGAAGCGGCCGCAGGAGCAGAAGGAGCAGTAGAAGGAGCAGGAGATTCGTCAGAGCACCTAGGGATGAGCAAGGTGCGAACACGAACATGTTCGTGTTCGCTCCTACACGAACACATCCATTTGCCGAACCGAACAATGTTCGGTTCGGCGAACACTTTAAGCAAAAACACGTGTTCGCCGTTCGCCTGTGAAGGCGTGTTCGGGCGAACCTCGAACACGTTCGTGTTCGTCGCGGGGCAAATTGCAGCAGCGGCCCGAACACGAACGTGTTCGGGCGAACCTCGAACACTGTTTGACGAACACCTTAAGCAAGTTCGAGGCGAACCGAACAGGTGTTCGCCCTTGTGCTCATGTCTAAGAGCACCTATCAGAGTCTCTGCAGGAACAGTGCATTCGTGGCAGTGCTGTCGCTGCCGCTGGAGCTGTTGCTGCTGCTGCTGCTGTTGGTGGTGGTGATGCTGCGGCAGCTGCTGCCGCTACTGCTGTTGTGGGCAGGGAGGGGGATAAAAAAGCAGCTGGCGCAGGCGAAGAGTGCGTACCTGCAGCAGCACCGTCAGCACTGATACCAGCGCAAATGGATGAGCTGTTGGATCGCTGTCTGCTGCAAGCCCTCTCCGTCTCTGTCAAACCCTCTCACGTGCCCCTCCCAGCTAGCTCCCTCTGGTAAGCTGACTAGGATTAATCGTCTTGTGTGATCATTGTTTGGTACTTCAGCCTTCCTGCTCTTTTCATCTACAAGTGATTGCGCATGGGACACGAGTGACGGCTTAAATTGCATATAGCCACGCAATTCCAACGAATCTCGTAGCTGTCTGCTGTTGGCATGGCCTGACACGTCCGCGCGTGTTCTTATGTGTCAGGTACAAAGTGCATGTCATGTGAGTCACATGATTCCTTTCTCCCCTGGCACCATGCTATTGGTGCTGTGCTGGCAGGTCCAATCACGTGCTGCCATGTCGGTCGCCCGGCACCACAGTGGACATCAAGAAGTCGTCTCACAAGAAGCTGAGCAAGTGGATGCATGCCAAGGCTGTTGATGGGCTGGTGAGTGACTGAGTGAGGGAGTAAGTGAGTGAGTGAGTGAGTGAGTGAGTGTGAGTGTGTGTCGTTCTGTTACATACCCACATATCTAGTGTGTATAATTGATTGTCTGATTGAGTGTGTCTACATTTCTTTTTTGTGGTTTCATCACTTCTACTTATGCTCATTCCGTCTACCTATCCTTCGCACCTTGACAGTCAGAATGCCCTCCACTTCGCTTTACTGAACTGCTCCCACCCGTGTCAAAAATCCATATCAACCTGGAAGAACAAAATCACCTCTACCATCAACCAGCCATGGCATATACCCACCCTTCCCCTTGCACACATCTGTTGACCTCTCCACATGCTCAGGTATGCGGCAAGGAGGACCAGCACCTCTGGGAGTTCATCCTCGCTGCTATCAACCACCCATGGCATGTTCCCGCCTCTACCACCCATCCCTCCCCATTGCACCCATCTACCCCCCTCACAGATAAGCAGCAAGGAGGACAAGCACCGCAGGGAGTTCATCATCTCGTCTATCAAACCCGCTTTCCATGCTCCAACCCACCACTTCCGTTGCACCTTTTCTGATGCACTCATCGCCCACGCCACCCTCCTCCCCCTGCCTTTTCAGATAAGCGGCAAGGAGGACAAGCACTGCAGGGAGTTCATCCTCTCGTCTATCAACCATCGCCACCAGGCCCTCCTCGCATTCTCGCCTTATAAGACAGCCCAATCCCCCACGACTGCACCCAAAGGTAGCTTCGGGGTAGCTACTGGAAGCGCCACCGTCACAACCACCACCACGGTAGAAGAGGTGTTCAAACCGTCTCTCCACGTGTCTCCTGTCTTTGAGTCCGTAGGGCTCGATCCACACGCCTTCTACTCCCCCTCAGCTGTTCACAGCGCTGCGATTTGCTATATCTCCCTCCACTCCCTCCTCGAGCCCTCCGACCCCTCTATAGTCGTCCTCGATGCAACGCTCTACGACGCACTGTACAAAGGCGCGATAAAAAAGGGTGCGACTTACCCTGCACAATGTCCCAAGAGGGATATAGGCCCCATGTTATTGCAGCGAATGCAGGCGCAACACAGGGTGGAGAGGGCGGGGAGGAGCGTGGAGCGGAAGGGGGAGCTGGAACCAGTGGAGATATTTGTGAGGGGGCGACAGGGCAGCAGGAGAGTGACACGGGTGACAGGTGTGGAGACTTATCTGGTGGAGGCTGAACCTCTTGCTGCTGAGCTGCAGAAGAAGTTTGCCTCAGGCGCGTCTGTGGCTCCAGTGCCAGGTGGGTTCACCTGCAACGGGCGCCAGGTGGGTTCACCTGCAACGGTCCTAGAAGGTCCCGTGCCTACAAGGTCTGGAAGCAGGTTTATGCATTGTCTTCAGTTTAGGGGCACCTCTGATTGCACGGTGCTAGCCATGTGAGTAAAGCAGAGCTGCACGGTGCCAGCCATGTGAGTAAAGCAGAGCTGCACGGTGCCAACCAAGTGAGTAAAGCAGAGCTGCACAGTGCCAGCGATGTGAGTAAAGCAGAGCTGCACGGTGCCAGCCATGTGAGTAAAGCAGAGCAGCATGGTGCCAGCCATGTGAGTAAAGCAGAGCTGCACGGTGCCAGCCATGTGATTAGAGCAGAGCTGCAGAAATGCTAGAGGAACCCGTCCCTGCTGCATATGTTTCGTTCGCCGTTTTGTCTGCTGAAATTCCCATCTTCGTTTCCACCCTTTCTTCTGTAGTCCTACGGTATTCCCCCTCAATTCCCAATCCCCTCCTGTTTCCCCATTTTTCTTCCTTCATCTCTTATATTGCACACTGTCAAACTTATATGCTATAGTCTGTTTAGGCTGTAGTGGGGTAGTTCTTATAGGGTACAACACTTTTAGGTTTCCTACTTGTACCCACCTGCTTTCTAGTTCATTCATTCCGTTCCTGATTCTAAAATGGTATTCTGAGCAGGTTCCCTACTGGGAACGTTTTTTTAGGGCCCACCACAAACTTTTTCCTGCCCTGCCCGAAGCGCGTTTTTTTTTTGCGCCTGCCCCTACTGCCGTCACGGCCCCTACTGCCATTACTGCCTCTACTGCCGTTGCGGCCCTTGCTTCCGTCGCGGCCTCTGCTGTCGACGCGGCCCCCGCTGCAGTCGCGCCCCCCCCTGCTGTCGCGGCACCTGCAGTCGCGGCCCCTCCTGCTATCGCGGCCTCTGCCGTCACGGCCCCTGCAGTCGCGGCCCCTTTGCTGTCGCGGCTCCTGCTGTCGCGGCCCCTGTTCCGTCGCGGCCCCTACTGCTGCCGAGGCCCCTGCTGCTGTCGCGGCACCTGCTGCTATCGCGGCCCCTGCTGCTGTCGCGGCCCCTGCTGTCGCGGCCTCTGCCGTCACGGCCCCTGAAGTCGCGGCCCCTTTGCTGTCGCGGCCCCTGCTGCCAAGGACCCTGCTGTCGCGGCCCTGACCTAAAACCGCCAGCTGCGGCCCTGCCCTGCACCCGACCCTGGTAAGCACCCGCGCCGCCCCGCGCCTGCTGCCCTGCCGCGCCGCGCCGCCAGGAACCAAGCCGCGCCACCCTGCCGAGCCGCGCCGCCCCACCGAGCCGCGCCGCCCAGCCGAGCCGTGCCGCCCTACCGAGTCGCGCTGCCCTACTCCTTGCACTGCGCCTGCTGCTACTGCTGCTTCTGCTGCCTCTGCTGCTCCTGCTGCTACTGCTGCTACTGCTACTACTGCTACTATGGCTAGCCCTACTGTTCTCACCTTTGATGCTGAGGGGCGTGCAGTTGACTTTGACGTTTGGGTTGACGACCTGCAGCTCTTTCTTCAGTGTGACTCTAGGGATGGGGTATCCCTTTTCGATCACACGTCCGGTGTCTCTACTGCTCCTGCTGCCACTGCTGACAGTACGGTTCGCTCGCAGTCGACCACTCGTGACGCTGTTGCTCGTCTTGCTGTTCGCAGTCACCTGCCGTCCGCTGAGCGCGCGCATTTTGGCCAGTACAAGACTGCTAAGTCTTTGTACGACGCTGTAGTTGCGCGCTACTCCTCCCCTGCCACTGCTGCCCTCAGCCGCCTCATGCTGCCGTACCTTTTCCCAGACCTTGCCGCCTTTGCCACAGTCACTAACCTCATTACTCACCTCCGCACTAGTGACGCTCGCTACCGTGCTGCCCTTCCCACTGAGTTCTGTGCCAAGACCCCCCCCCCCCATGTACATCACCCTTTACTACCTAGTCACCCGCCTCCCTAACTCCCTTGCTTTAGTCAGGGACCACTTTCTCTCCCTTTGCCCCACCGAGCTCACAGTTGACCTGCTAGAGGAGCGCCTCGCTGCAGCTAAGAAGAGTATCTTAGCTGTAGGTGCTTCTCGCGGCGACCGTCGCACCCCTTTCTTTGAGGGGTGTTCCCCTGTCCCCCTTCTCCCCTCTGTTGCTTCTGCTGCTGCTGTCGACCTCGTTGGCACTGAGGAGGTCGGGGCTGCGTCTGCTCCTAGTGGGAGGCACCGCAACAGCAAGGGCAAGGGGGGCAAGGGTGGTGGAGGGGAAGGTGGGGGCAACGGTGGAGGCGGTGGAGGAGGCGGAGGGGGTGGCGGTGGAGGTGGGGATGGTGGCGGGAGTGGGGGCTTCGGTGGCGGCAGTGGGGGCTTCGGTGGCGGCAGTGGGGGTGGTGGGGGCAGCGATAGCGGTGGTGGAGGCAGCTGCAGTGGTGGTGGAGGTGGCGGCGGCGGTGGTGCTGGTCGAGGTGCAGCCGCGCAGCGTGGAGGCTTTGGTGGTAGCCAGCGCCAGCAGCAGCCGCGTTCCCGTGAGACCCCGTCGGCCCAGCAGCTTCGTGAGTGGTACGCTGGGCGTGGGAGGTCCGGGGGTGCTGGTCTCCGACGTACGTTCTTTGCACCGGCGGGCGTCGTGGGGAGACGTGCGGGCTGCCACACACTGCGCAGCGTTGCTTCGGTCGTCTGACTGACGCCTGGCGCGCCCAGTTTCCTGACGCTGTTGAGCTCCCTCGCTGGGGTGATCTACATAAGCAGAATTTTGCTATCTTTGATCTTGATTTCGATGCTATCCTTGCTGCCATGTATGCTGTGACTGAAAGTGCTGAGGGTGACTGTTACCTGAGTGTTCCGCCCGACCCGAGCATTGAGGCTGCTGCTCTAGGTGCTAGTGCGTCTGCTGCTCCAGGTACTGGTGAGTCTACTGCTCCAGGTGCTGGTGAGTCTGCTGCTCCAGGTGCTGGTGAGTCTGCTCTCTCTGGTACTGCACCTACTGAGGCCTTGCACACTTTCACACTTGACTCTGGTGCTTCGCGCTCTTTTTTTCGCGACAGCACCACACTCACGCCGCTCAGTCGGCCTGTCGCAGTCTCCCTGGCTGACCCCTCTGGGGGCCCAGTCCTTGCGCACTCTTCCACGGTTCTACCTTGTCCTGCGGCCCCGTCGGGCTTGCTCTCGGGACTCCACCTCCCCTCGTTCTCTACAAACTTGGTGAGTGGAGCTGTGTTGATCGACTGGATCCGCGGTGCTCGTCGCCAGCTCAGCCGGCGTTTCGGCTCGGACCTTCCTATTCTGCGTCTGCACTCCGACAGGGGTGGTGATTTTTCCTCCGACCTCCAAAGGGCCTTCTGTCGTGCGGAAGGCATCCGCCAGACATTCACACTTCCGGCCTCCCCACAGCAAAATGGGATTGCTCAGCACCGCATTGGCATGGTCATGGACGTCGCTTGTACGTCCATGATCCATGCGGCTACTCCCCATTTTCTGTGGCCGTTCGCGGTTCAGTACGCTGCGCATCAGATCAACCTTCAGCCTCGTGTCTCCTTGCCGGAGACCACACCTACTCTGCGGTGGACGGGGAAGGTTGGCGCTGCGTCCGCGTTCCGTGTGTGGGGATCTCGAGATTTTGTCCGCGATACTTCAGCGGACAAGCTGTCCTCCCGTGCCGTTCCCTGCGTCTTCCTTGGCTTCCCCCCTGACGCACCCAGGTGGCAGTTCTACCACCCCACCTTGCGTCGTGTTCTGTCCTCTCAGGACGGCATGTTCGACGAGTCGGTGTCTTACTACCGTCTCTTTCCCTACCGCAATGCCTCTCTCCCCCCCCCGCCACTCTTCCTAGCACCAGGTACTCCTCCGGTAGACCCCCTCCCCCTCAGGGTCCTGCCCCCTCAGGTGTGTATCAGGTAGACACTGCCGAGCCGGTCGAGGTAGCTGTCGACTCAGGTGCTGCTAGGGGTGCTGAGCCTGCGGGTGCGGGGATGGGAGTGCGGTGCCTGGGGGTGCTGAGCCTAGCGTGTGGAGTCTGGGGGTGCTGAGCCTGCGGGTGCGGAGCCTGGGGGTGCTGAGCCTGAACGTGTGGAATCTTGGGGTGCTGAGCCTGAGCGTGTGGAGCCTGGGGGTGCAGAGCCTGGGGGTACTGCGTCTTGGGGTGCTGAGCCTGCGTGTGCTGAGTCAGGAGGTTCTCCAGGTGTCCCGTTGCGGCGGGAGCCCCTCTCTCCGCAGCGGCTTCGTGAGTGGTGCGCTTGACTCTGTCGCCGTGCTACTAGTGCTGCTGGTGCTGGAGCTGCTGAAGGTGCTGCTGGTGTTAGAGCTGCTGGAGTTGCTACTGGTGCTGGAGCTGCTGGAGCCGCCGGTCCTGGAGGTGCTCGTACTGGAGGTACTGGAGCTGCTAGGACTGGTGGTGCTGCAGGCGTTGGCACTGCAGGTACTCGTGCTGCTGGTGGTGGAGCTACTGGAGGTGCTGCTGGTGCTGGAGCTGCTGGAGGTGCTGCTGGTGCTGGAGCTGCTGGAGGTGCTGCTGGTGCCGGTGCTACTGGAGGTGCCGCTGGTGCTGGAGCTGCTGGAGCCGCTGGTCCTGGAGGTGCTCGTACTGGAGGTACTGGAGCTGCGGGAGCTGGTGGTGTTGCAGGCGGTGGCGCTACAGGTACTGGAGCTGGTGGTGCTGCAGGAGCTGTTACTCGAGACCCTGGAGCTGAGGGTACTGGTGATGTCTCTGCTGTTTCTGGAGGCGCTGCGTGGCCGCGGCCGTACTACGTTCCGCTCCTTCAGCAGGTTCTTGGTCTCCCGCCTTCTCCTGGTCCTCCTCCTCCTTTACTGAATCCACCTCTTGTCCAGTCACAGTCGCAGTTACAGCCGGCCTCTCCACTGCCTTGTCCCTCTCCTTACTCTGGACCGACTAGAGGTCTTACGGAGCGTCGTGAGTCTGAGTCGCGTCCTGTGTCGCCTGAGTCTCGTCCTGCGTCACCTGAGTCTCGTCCTGTATCGCCTGTCCGCACTGTTCGCGATGGTCGTCGTGTTTCGCATCCGCGTCCTCCTCCTGTCCCTGGCACTCACTCTATGACTCTGCGTCCTTCCACTGCTCCACAGCGTGTCCCTCTTCCGTCTCCTCCTGCGTCCTCTCTTCCTTACGGTCCGAACCCGGAGTCTGACTCCCTTCGTGCTGCTAGTCCTACTGTCTCGCGCTTTCTGGCCACTGCTGTCATTGACCCTTTGTTTGAGTCCACTGCTTCGTCTGCTCTCGTTGCTGAGGTTGTTGATTTTGCTGCCGCTTGTCGCCTAGACTATGCCACTAGTCTTGTTGCTGAGTTTGCGTCTGCGTCTGTCTGTCCTCCGTCCGTCGGAGGTGAGTGTGCTCTTGGCACGGACGTTCTTGAGGACAGACACGAGGAGTTTGAGTGCTTTGCCGTTGCTGTACCTCATCTCGTGTCCATGCTGATTGCCCCTGAGGGAGACCCAGATGCACCAGACATCCCGACCCCGCGCTCTTACGCAGAGGCGATAGAGGGTCCCTACTCCTCTCAGTGGCAGGCAGCCATGGACGCCGAGATGGCTTCCTGGAAGTCCACAGGCACCTACGTCGACGAGGTTCCCCCGCCTGGGGCGAACATCGTCAGTGGCATGTGGATCTTCAGGGTGAAGCGGCCGCCGGGTTCTCCGCCTGTCTTCAAGGCGCGTTATGCTGCACGTGGCTTCCGTCAGCGACAGGGAGTTGACTTCTTCCAGACCTTCTCCCCTACCCCGAAGATGACCACTCTTTGGGTACTGCTGCACGTTGCTGCTCAGCGTGACTACGAGCTCCACTCGCTTGACTTCAGCACAGCCTTCCTACAGGGCAGCCTGCACGAGGAGATCTGGCTGCGCCGCCCACCAAGCTGCACTGGGTCGTTTCCTGCTGGTACCCAGTGGAGCCTCCGGCGGCCAGTCTACGGTCTCCGCCAGGCACCCTGTGAGTGGCACGACACACTGAGGACGACTCTTGTTGCTCTTGGTTTTGCTCCTTCCACTGCTGACCCTTCTCTGTTTTTACGCACTGACACCACTCTGCCGCCGTTCTACGTTCTCGTATACGTAGACGACCTCGTCTTTGCTACTGCTGACACTGAAGCACTCGCCCACGTGAAGTCCGAGCTACATAAGAGACACACGTGCACAGACCTGGGTGAGCTGATAAGCTATCTTGGCTTGCGGATCACCCGGGACAGAGCACAGCGCACCATTACCTTGACTCAGTCACACATGGTGCAGCAGGTCCTTCAGCGCTTCGGCTTCACGTACTCCTCGCCACAGTCCACTACTCTGCCTACCGGTCACTCGCTCTCAGCTCCACCTTCGAACGAGTCCGTAGAGCCGAGTGGCCCGTATCCAGAGCTTGTGGGCTGCCTCATGTACCTGATGACTTGCACACGACTTGACCTCGCATACCCTCTCAGCCTTCTAGCTCGCTACGTGGCTCCCGGTAGGCACCGAAAGTTGGACTGGGATGCTGCGAAGAGGGTGTTGCACTACTTGTGCAGTACTTCGGGCATGGGGCTCGTGCTTGGAGGATGGGCTCGAGTTGTCCTCACTGGTCACGCTGACGCCTCCTGGGTTGACGACTTGGCTACGCAGCGGTCGTCACAGGGTTACACCTTCAGTCTTGGCTCCGGTTCTATCTCTTGGCGGTCTACCCGCTCTTCTTCTGTTCTCAGCTCCAGTTGTGAGGCTGAGATCTACGCTGGGGCCATGGCTGCACAGGAGCTACGCTGGCTCACCTACCTGCTGACCGACTTGGGAGAGGCGCCTCGTTCTCCTCCAGTTCTGCACGTCGACAACAAGGCCATGCTTGCCTTGTGTCAAGAGCACTAACTGGAGCACAGAACGAAGCACATTGCTCTGCGCTACTTCCTTGCTCGAGATTTGCAGCAGCTTGGCCAGCTTCGTCTTGCTTACGTGGCCTCTCAGGCCAACACTGCTGATGTTTTCACCAAGGCACTTCAGCCTTGTGATCATCAGCGTTTCTGTACTGTGTTAGGTCTTGTACCTACTGTGCCTCACCTGCTTACTTCTTGACTCTGCTTGTACTGTACTCTTTATACATATACCTGCATGCTTACACTTGCTAGGTTGTGTTCACTGTATTGTTTGCTCTCCTTTATATAACTCTGCATGTGAACTGGCCTTGTGGCCATTTGCTTGTGCTCAGACTGCGTGGTGACTTTGTGATCCACCCTGAGCTTGCTTTGCCTTTCTTGACTGGTCTTGTGACCTCTTGTTCTCCCCCACTTTGCCTATGGGGGTGTGTCAAACTTATATGCTATAGTCTGTTTAAGCTGTAGTGGGGTAGTTCTTATAGGGTACAACACTTTTAGGTTTCCTACTTGTACCCACCTGCTTTCTAGTTCATTCATTCCGTTCCTGATTCTAACACACACCACCCACTCGTTTCATTTTTTTGCCCTTGCTTGAAGCAGTTAAGAAGGGGCAGCGTGAGGTGTGTTTTCAAGGAGGATTCCTGGACAAGTTGTCTCGGCTGCTTGTGGATGTACATGGCATCCCAAAATCCTACGTGACTGCAATCGATCATACAAAAAGGTGATGCATGTAAGCATCTTAAAAATCTTGTACATGCCGTAAGTGCCCACTTAGTGGACCCCTGACAAAGTTTTGTATGTTTGTGTCAATTGCCTGTCAAAATTGCCACTTATGAAAACCAAGGATTCTGCAGCGTTCACGAAGTCTGGCTGCGGCTACTGCTGCAATGGTCCCTGCTGCATCAACACATTCAGCACCATAAGGACTGCAGCATCAGTAGCAGAAGAAATAGCACTAGCAGCAGTGCCCTAGATATCAGACTTTTTACTCTGATTCAGAGTTCGTTCAGACTTTTTTTTGGTACCTAGGCTGAACTCAATTTTTTTTTTTTATGTACCTTGTCTGATTTTTCAGAGCTTTATTTTATGACTTGGCTGAAATTTCAGCCTAATTTTATGAGTGTAGGCTGAGCCCTCAGCCTTGTATTGGGGGTGCACACTGAATCTGGCAATACAGGGATTTCCGCCAGCCTGTAGGATTACCGGTAACACTGTCAATCACGGGCGGGAAATCAAGTTTTCCCCCGCGAGGCCCCGCACCGCACTGTCGCGTTGGTACAGCAAAGCGGCCAATCAGGGTTGCGCAGCAGGCAGCGTTGGCAAGAATCGTTGCCAACGCATGGCTCTCAGTCTCAGCGCGCTATGCCTTGTACGGCACCACAAACTTCCACCCCACCCCACCTTCCCTGCAAACACGACCGCGCTGCTCAGATATGTGACATGTTTTATTGTGTTTTTTATGAAAGTTTTACAGCTAACTCTGAAAATTCAGCCCAAAAAACATTGAGTTGTCTGATTTTTCAGCCTAAAATTTTGGGGCCACGCTGACTCACAGAGTTCTAACAGGGGTGCACACTGATCGATCAGCGTGCCTCAAAACGAATCTATGGGCCTGACTAGCAGCAACAGCAGCAATAGAAGCCAGAGATAACGTTTTTTTGCACCAAGGCCAAATTTCACAGTGTTTTGTCTTCAGTAGTTTCATACACTGTAGAGATACAAGAGGATGTTACTGCTAATTACGTTAGTATTATTTCATGTTTTCCGTACTTGCCTTCAATCTACAGATCTGCGAGAGATTATCCTGGCAAATGCAGTAGCTATAGAAACTCATTTTCTGTGGCTGACTCGCAGGTGCTGTTTCTAAAAAACGGACTCTCCTTTAGCTTCTCTCCTAACCTCCCCCTCCCCCTCCCTCTCCCCCCACCAAACCCCCTCCCTCCCACACCCCCTCTCCCTCCTCCCTCCTCGCACCCCCCAGCAGTCACCATCCGTGCCCGCCCCCCCCACACCGGCAGCCCACCTCCCCCACTTGCACGCGCACCCATGCCGCCTTGGCTGTCCGACTCAGCTGCTCGCCCGGCAGTGGACACAGAAGCTCCAAAATCTACTCCCTCCCCTCTGTACATGTTATATACTGATGCATTACTGGCAGTGGACTCGCGCAGACTAGTCTGCACCCCCTCCCGAGTGCTGTCCCCATCTGTGAGCCTCTCTCCCCCGTGTCCGTTCTCTTCCCCTTGCCCCCTGTTACCTTCTTGCTTGACCCGCCCTAATTGCTCTTTCTTCCTTTCCTCTTCCCTCCTCTCCTCATCCCTCCTCTCTTCCTCCCTCCTCTCCTCCTCCCTCCTCCCCCCCTCCCACCGCGCCTCCCCCTCCTCCCCATCACGCACGCACCGCAGCTTCACCGTGCGCAGTGCCTCAGGACTGACGCCATAGCTCAGCCGCAGGGGCGCCTGAGGCCGGATCATCCGACCCACCTCTGGTACCACCTCCTGCTGCCCCCGCCCGCCCCTCCGCACCCCCCGCCCCCTGCCGCGCCCCATCATGATGATCCTGCCCCTCCCCTCCGCCTTGCGTGCTGCTGACAGCACTCTCCCCACACCCCCTTCTGCAATCTCGTGTGAATCATACTCTTCAAACTCATCCGCACCCTCGCCCACACCCTCATCCCCATTACCATCCCAATCCCCATCCTCCTCCTCCTCCTCCCCATAACCTTCCTCCTCCTCCCTATCCTCTTCCTCCTCCTCCCTATCCTCTTCCTCCTCCTCCCTATCCTCTTCCTCCTCCTCCTCCCCATCCTCGTCAACCTCCTGGCTGCTGCCACTAGGAGCCCACCTGCTCAGAAACCCCCTCTCCTCATTCCACCTCCCCACTCCGTTGCTCTCCCTCCCTCCACCACTCTTTCCCTTCTCATCACCTCGCTCCCGCTCATCCCTCTCCGTCTCATCATTGCCCCACCCCTGCGTTGCTCTCTTGCCCCACACGCCTGCTGTGCTCACAGAGGGTGACTGTAACGGTCGCCCAGGCCTGCTGATAGATGGCGAGAGTGACACTAACGGGGAGTTGGTGACTTCAATGGAAGGCAGGGAACTACCAGAGGGGAGGAATGGCGAGCGGGAAGGGGAGGCGGAAAGGGAGGGCGAGGAAGGGGAGGAGGGGGAGGAGGGGTCGGAGGGAGAAGGGATGGATGTCTGTTCCTCCGAGTCAGAGAGTGACAGTACTGGGGAGTTTGTGACCTCAACGGTTGACAGTAACGGGGAGTTGGAGACTTCAATGGAAGGCAGCGAGCTACCAGAGGGGAGGAATGGCGAGGCGGAGGGGGAGGGGCAAAGGAGGGGGGAGGAAGGGGAGGAGGGGGAGGTAGTGTGGGAGGGGGAAGGGATGGATGTGCGTCCCTTGGAGTCCGACAGAGAAGCAGACACTTGGATGTCATAGCTCGTCCATGAGCCACTAGGATTTTGACACGTGGCACCAAGACCTGCTCTTGACACCACCCCACCCAAGCCACCCTCCTTCCCAGCTTCACCGGACCAAGAGCTCCCCGAACCAAAGCCTCCCGAGCCAGGGCCGCCAGAGCTACCCCGAGCCAAGCCTCCCGTAAGGCGGTCGTTGTGTGAGTGGATTGCCTCTTGTCCGCTGGGAGGTTGCAGAGAAGTCACAAGTTCACCTGCTGCCTCCTCCTCTGCATCCTCCTCTGCATCCTCCTCTGCATCCTCCTCCTTGGCTGCCGTGGCCACTGCTTTCAGAACTGCTGCAACGGACCGTGGAACAGGTGGTGTGTCAGCTTCACCATGCCTCGCACCTGCCCTGCCATGCGTCACACCCAGCCCTTTCCCTAGCACATGAGAAGCAGGTGATCGGCCAACCAAGGCAGACACTCGCGCTGCTGCCACCATCTCCTCCCCAACCGCCGGAGCAGACCCAGCAGCAGCAGCTGCGGGAGGCGCATTAGCAAAATCAGCTGCGGCGGCAATTGCAGCAGCAGCAGCAGCACTTGAAGCATTCTCACTATCTCTCCCCGCCCCATCCCTGTTTAACAGACGCCTGTCCGCGCCCCGCATCATCCCACCACCCATGGGCGAAGGCGAGGTGGCAGTGTTGTCATCTGCCTCGTCGCCCCACACTGGCATTCTCCTCAGCGGACTCTCGTCCCTCTCCTCCCCCCCGTCCTTTTTCTTCTTCTCCTCTTCCTCCTCCTTTTTGCCCCCTCTATCCCAATGCCTCACTCCTCCACCTCCTCCTGCCTCCCACTCGCCCTCCCCGCCCTTCCCCTCCGCCTTCCCCTCTATCTCTAGTGCTCGGCTGGTCTCCCTTATCCGCCTTTCGATCTCGTTTCTCACAGCGCTCAAGCCCCCTCCCTCGGATGCAGACAGCGAGCCAGAGAGGGCGGACGGGGAGAGCAGCGAGGTGGAGAGAGGGGAGAGTGACTATATGGGGGTGGGCTCTATGGAGGTGGTCAAGGACGAGGTGAATGAGTCTGAAAGCAAGTCTGCCGGGCCGTACCGATGGGGTGGGTGTGACGGAGCAGCACCATTCGAGTTTGCAGCAGCATTTGAGTTTGCAGCAGCAGATGACCCTTTACCACTAGAAACACGAGCCGCCGCCGCAGAAGAAGCAGCAGCAGACGAACCCCCCCTGTGTGAACCCCTACCATGTGACGACCCCTTGCCGATTGAATTTGCCCTTCCACCCACAACATCATCGCCACAAGAATCGCCCTTCGACCCTGAGAAGGACCCTGCCTGCCCGTTACCCTGCCCGTTCAGCTGCCCGCTGGAGCCTGACGCAGCGCGAGCATCTGACTGGGCACCTGAGTGAGCACCTGAGGAAGCACCTGAGTGCACCTGGGAGCGAGACCTGGACTTGGACCAGGATCGGAGGCGCAGACCTGACCTGTATGGGCCTTGAGAGTAGGAGTTGGACTGAGAGGGAGACGGGGTAACTGACAGCGTGGACTCGGATAGTGGGAAAGTTTCTGATATCGTCTCAATGTCCATGCGATCTTCGTCTGCTATAGCCCCCCTAGCCTGATTCAGACGTCTGGAGTCCTGGTTCGGGTGGCTTAAGTCCTGATTTGGGCGGCTTGAGTCCTGAGCAGAGCGGCTTGAGTACTGTGCCCCCTTGCCTGCCTCCAACCCTGTGTGTGTTCCTCCAGCTGCTGTTGCTCCCCTATCCACCCCCTTCTCTCCTCCCCTCTCCATCCCCTTCTCTCCTCCCCGATCCACCCCTTTCATTCCTCCCCTCTTCAACCCCTTCTCTCCTCCCCTCTCCACTCCTCTCCCTGCTTCCCACTCCGTCCTTCTCTCGCCTCCCTCACCCGCTCCCAGCCCAACGAACGTCCCCCCAGCATGCATCACTGCATGCCGCACCACCACTGGCGCTCTGGCCTGCGCTGCTGCTTCCATCCCATATCCACCTGCCATTTCTCCTGCTGCCATGCCCCCTCTCCCTGCTGCCTCCCTCCCATATCGACTTGCCATGTCGGCTGCTGCCAGGCCACTCCTCCCTGCTGCTGCTGCACCAACTGGCTTGGCTCTTTCGGCTGCCGCTGCTGCTTTAGCTGTTGTGGGTATCTTCACTGCTGCAACTGCCACATTTGCTGGAGCTGCTGCTACAGGCGGAGGTGCCTGCTTTGCTGCTGCTACAGCAGGCGGTGCCGGCTTTTCTGCTGCTACAGCAGGTGGTGCTGGCTTCGCTGCTGCTACAGCTGCTGCCTTCTGCCGCCCTGCACTCACCTCTCTCTTCGCCTGCAACCAGTTCCGCATATACCCTCCCCTCCCCCGTCCTGCATCCCCTCCCGTCCCTCCTCCCATAGCCACAGCCCCACCCTGCCCTGCGCCCTCAACCACCCTCCCCAACTCCCCATATCCTCCCTGCCCTCCCGCTCCTCCCCCTCTCCCAAACGAGCCACTTCGGTTTGGTGGTGGCGCCAGTGCTACTGCATCTCGCCCCTCCTTCCGCCCTGCAGCATCCACCAGTGGCCCTGCAGCATCCACCAGTGGCCCTGCAGCATCCACCAGTGGCCCTGCAGCATCCACCAGTGGCCCTGCAGCATCCACCAGTGACCCGTGCTCATACCGCTTCCCTGCTTCCCGCGCGCTGGATGCTGAGGTGTCGCAGCTTGATTGGGGCGAGGAGAGGGAGGAGAGGGGGGCGGCAGAGGAGAGAGGGGAGAGCGACGAGGCGGGAATGAGGGAGGCGAGGGGGGTGATGCTGCGAGAGACTGTGGACGGCTGCTTGTCATTAGAGAGGGTGTTGTTAGAGAGCGCAGAAGGAGAGGTGGAAGGAGAGGAGAGGGAGGGCGGGGTAGACACGGAGGAGAGCGGTGTGAGGGTCTAAGACATGGAGCCATTGAGCTGTGAGAGAGAGCCGTCCATTTGAGAGAGCGAGCCATCCATTTGCGATAGGGACCCATCAATTTGTGATAACGAACCCTCCATATCTATATTACTCCCTCCTTTCCCACTCCCCTCCTCACTTCCATTCCTTCCCTCCCCGCCCTCCACCCCTTTCCCATCCACGGGAGAAGCACCCCAGAAGCTTCCCATGATGGACCCAGCAGCACCAGCCACCATGCCCCAGATCCCCGGCTGTAGCGCGGGGTCGCCCTCTGCTGCAGCAGCCATGGCTTCCACAGCCGCGTCCACTGTGAGGGCCGAGGGGGAGGACGGCACGGCAGCTGTAGCACTGGACGCCTGAGAAGAAGCAGAGAGGGAGTGGGAGAGGGTACCAGAACCAGTAGCAGCAGTGCCACCAGCAGCAGCGCTAGTCTTAATGACCTTTCCAGCTGCATTAACCCCACCTGCCGCAGATGCACCGGCCCCATCCGCAGCAGCAGCACTGGCAGCAGCATCAGAAGCAGGGGGAACGCCCCTGGAGTCACCTCAGAAGCTTCCCTAGAAGCTTCAGTGTCTGTGCCATACGCCGCATGCCTGCTGGACCATGCATAACCGCTCTTCACCGCTCTGGGCTGCAGGGTGTAGGGCCGGCGGGGGTCGGGAGAGGTGCTCTGAGGCGCTTCAGGGAGGGACGGCAGGCGGTGCGGATTTCTAGGGGCAGGAGCACGCGAGGGGGAAGGGGAGAGGGAGGGGGATGGAGAGGCATCAGGATCGGAATTGGATTTGTGGTGAGGGAGGGTGTGGGGGAGGGGAGTGGTCGGGGTGTGCGAGGTGGGGGTGAGAGCGGTGGGGGTGAGAGCGGTGGGGCTGCAATCAGGGCCCAGACTGCAGCTGGCCACAACAGACTGTCCCAGATCACCCTGTCCTCTTGCTGCTGCTGCAACACCAACTTTAGCAGCAGCAGCAGCCTTGCCATTTGTAAGTTCACCCGCAGGCTTCTGAACGGACTTGACACTGTCGACACGGAAGCCCATACTGTCCACTCGCACGCCCCCTATCCCCGACCATGCCGCTGACCCCATCCCCTCCTCGCCCTCACCCCCTCCTCCCCTACTTCCATTCACCTGCCTCCCTTTCCCCCACTTTCCACCTCTCCGCCCCTTCATCTCTTTTATCCACTCCGGCCCACCCCCAGAGCCCACACTAGAAGCCCAGCTCATGTTCGTTTCCGTGTCTACAACCACCTCTACCCCTCTCTCTTGCCCCTCCTCCCGCTCCTCTCCACCCCTCACTCCTCCAAGCTCCCCTTCCAATGCTCTCGTTTTTCCCCTCTCTCTACCTTTCTGCTTGTCCTCCCTCCAGCTTCTGCTCCTGTTGCCTTTTCGCCCCACTTCCCTCTCACTTCCTCTCCCAATCCCCTCGCCTCGCTCCCTCTCCCCTCTCTCCTCTCTCTCCCCTCTCCCAGGCCCCCCTCCCACCTCCTGCATCCGCCTGCTTCGCAAATACTCCACTCGTGCCCTCAGCCCGCCAAACGGGTCCTCCCCTCCTCTTCTCCCCCCCACACCTTCCATCAGCGCAGCAGCAGCAGCAGCAGCAGCGCCAGCCGAACGCTCACTGGACGAGAGGGAGGAGAGGGAGGACCAGGAGTCGGAGTGCAGAGACACGGAGGCCACGCCGATGCTCGCCCCTGCAGCTGCTGCCAGGGCGCCGCTTTGGTTGCCACACAGCACAGGCAGCGGGGAGAGGCGCCGCGGAGAGAGCGGGCTTGGGGACCCACTGCCAGTAGCACCGCCAGGAGCAGCAGAGGGAGAGGCAGGAACCACAACAGCGGTAGCAGCGGCAGCAACAGCAGCAGCCATTCCTGCAACATCCAACGCTCCATCCCTTTCCCAGTTCTCCTTCTCCTGTCGCCCCTTCCATCCCCACCTGCTCGGGCTCAGCATGTGCATACCCCCCCTCGTCTTGGCATGGTCCGATTGAGCCCTCTCATGCTTGTGAGCGCCGGTGCCAGTGACAGCAGCAGCAGCAGCAGTCACAACGCCAACACCCAGCGCAGCTGCTGCAGCACCTGCTCCCAGCACCGCACCCAACACCCCGGCACCGCCCCCACCTGCCGTGCCAGCACCAGCAGGAACAGCAGCGGCAGCAGCAGCACTAGCACCTTCCCTTGATTCCCCATCCCCTCCTCCTCGTCCCCCCTTTCCCCCGTTCCCTCCCCCTCCCCCTCTCCCTTCCCCCCCCGCCCCTTCTGTAGCCCACGAGGGCGCCAGCATGGGCAGCAGCTGCATGAGCGCACGGGGGGAGTTCCGCCACTCCTCCCCCTCGTCTGTACCACACCCCCCCTCCTCCCCACCTTCCCCCCTTCCGCCTGATTCCCCCCTCCTCCCCCTAGAGGTTCCATCCCCCGTACCTGCTTGCCCTGCTGAATCCAACCGAGAGGCCCCAGACTGGTTCGGTCTAGTCTCGGAACCCGTCATTCGGTTAGGAGAACCATACTCGTTATAAGCTGGGCCGCTAGAAGCTCTCCTGCCACTGCCGCAGCCGCCACCGCTACTGTTGTCACCGCTACTGCTTTGGCTGCCCGACCTGCCCCGGCTGCCCCCCCTCGAGTTTCCCTTCACGGGAAAAGCTGCCTCTGGCGACCCTCCCAGCTCACCCCGCCTATCCATGTGAAACCTCGCCCCTATCCCCCCTCCCCATCCGCCCCCCTCCCCCTCTCCTCCCCTCTTCCTCCCTAACCCCCACCCTCTCCTCCACCTGGATTGGCTCGCAGAGTCGCCGCCCAAATCCCTGTCAGAATCCGAATCAGATCGGGGGGAGCCGAAACCAAAGGGGCTGAGAAAGAGGAGCACGAGGCCGTAGGCGAGCAGAGAGAGGCCGCCCAGAAAGCCCCCTGTGAGCGTCACTGATCCGTCCGTGCCAGCCACCTCACTCACTGATCCCGCACACCCCTGCTCTTCCCCCTCTGCTCCTCCCCTTACATTCCCCCCCCTCACCCCACCTCCCAGCCCCTTGCTCCTCCCAAATGCGCCTTCATAGTATTTCACCCCCACCCCGGCAGTATCCTTCACTAAGGCATGCAGGAAGCAGAGCAGGTGGCCCAAAAACGACACCAGCAGCAGCGCCTGCAACCCCGCCCCTGCTGCTGCAGCAGCGGAGGGGGGAATGGTGCCCGTGGCAATAGCGAGGGCGACGGCGAAGAGAGAGACATGCGAGGCGGAGGCGAGGAGGGCGGAGAGGAGGAGAGTCGTGCTGATGAAGGGACGGGCGAGGGCGAGGTAGAGCAGGTGGCAGCAGGAGAGCACCAGCAGCACCGTGCTCTGCGCACACGCATCTCCTGCTGAGCTGGCAGGATCTGCTGAGGTGGCAGGGTGGGCCATCCAGCTGTAGCTGGCGACAACCACAGCGAGGGAGCAGCGCAGGCAGAGTTCCAGAGGCACGTGGGCTATGCCTGCCCACCCAGACGCCCATTGCAGCCCACGCCATGCCTTATCCATGGCCGAGTGGCTGTCTGCTGTGCCGTGGCCGTATGCACTGGCTGCATACCCGCGCCCATGCGTGAACGAAACATCCACTTCCCACCAGTCCCCCCCTCCCCCATCCCCACTTCCTCCTCCTCTTCCTCCCTCGCCAAACCCAACTGGATGCACTGCCGCTGCCCGACCAGAAAAGCCGCTCCGGCCAAAAGCTGAGCCTAAAGGCGAGCCGCTGGCTCGGCCTGAACCTGAACCAATTCCTCGGCCCGAACCTGCACCGGTGGTTCGGACCACGGATGCTCCTCCGGTCTGGTTGCCGCCCCACTGAGCCTCGAATAGCTGCCCCCAGCTGCCAATGAAATCTGGACCCGTGGCAGGGTCTGTGATGTGCCACGTACCATGGGCTGAGCTGGACGAAGAGAGCTGGAGGTCAGAAAAAACAAGTATAGGCGGTGGAGGGAGGGGGATCAGGGGAAGGGTCTACCTGAGACACACCTGAGGGAGCAGGACCCTGGGGCGGGAGGGGGTCTACCGGAGGGGGACCGAGAGCAAGGAAGAGTGGCGGGGGTGGGGGAGGGGCAGAGTGGTAGGGGAAGAGACGGTAGAAGGGAACCGACTCGTCGAACGTGACGTCCTGAGACGGGAGGAAACTGCGCGAGGTGGGGTGGTAAAACTGCCAGCCAGGCGCGTCAAGGAAAAAGCCAAGGAAGACACAGGGGATAGCACGGGCGGAGAGCTTGTCCGCGGACGTATCGCGAAAAAAGGCACGAGAACCCCAGACCCGGAAAACCGACGCATTGCCAACCTCCCCCGTCCAACGCAGTGTGGGCGAGGTCTCCAGTAAGGAGACACGGGGCCAGAGGTTGAGCTGATGCGCATCATACCGGACCGCAAACAGCCACAGAAAATGGGGAGCAGCCGCATGGATCATGGAGGTACGAGCGACCTCCATGACTAAGCCAATGCGGCGCTCAGCAATCCCATTTTGCCGAGGGGAGTCCGGAGGCATGAACGACTGGAGAATGCCCTCCCCACGACAAAATTCCCGCAAGAGGTTGGCGGAGAACTCACCACCTCTGTCAGAGTGCAGACGCAAGACAGGAAGGTCCTGGCAGAACCGCTCGCGGAGCTGGAGACGGACTGTGCGGATCACTCCCACTGCTGCCTCCACTGCCGCCACCAGAACCCCCACTCCCTCCACCAGTCCCACCGCTGCCACCACCTCCATTGCTGCCCCCACCACTACTCCCGCTGCCACCTTCACCACCACCGCTGCCACCCCGACCACCCTTGCCACCCTTGCCCTTGCTGCTGCGGCGCTTCCCACTAGCAGAAGCAGCCTCGACGTCCTCAGCAGCAGAGACGTCTGCAGCAGCAGCAGAGGCATAGGAGGGGGCAAGGGGGGAGGGGGAGCACCCCTCAAAGAAGGGCGGGCGCGGAGTGCCACGAGCAGCACCTACAGCAACTGCACTAGTCTCAGCTGCGAGGAGATGCTGCTCGAGGAGGTCAACAGTGAGGGAGGTGGGGTCAAGAGAGAGAAGGCGAGTGACTGGGAAGTAGAGGGTGATGAACATCGGGGGCTGGTTCTTGTCAAGGAACTCAGCGGGGGCGGCAGCGCGGTAGCGAGCGTCACTAGCGCGAAGGTGGGAAACCAGGTCCTCGACTATGGCAAAGGCGGACAGCTTGGGGAACAGGTAGGGCAGAAGCAGGCGGCCTAGAGCAGCAGTGGTAGGGGAGGAGTAACGAGCGACTACAGCATCTTACAATGCCTGTGTTGTCCTGTGCTGTCCGAAATGAGCGCATTCGGCTAACGGCAGGTGGTTGCGAATGGCTAGGCGGGCAGCAGCGTCGCGAGAAAGCCTTTGTGAGCGAGTCGCACTGTTAGCTGTGGCGGGAGGGGCAGTAGTGGCACCGGACACGAGTTCAAACAGTGAAACGCTGTCCTTAATATCGCTCAGTAGGTACAGCTGCAGGTCGTCGAGCCACGTGTCGAATTGTACCGGTCTACCCTCATGGTCGAACGCGAGAACTCGAAGCAAGGCCATAGTGGCACAGTAAGTAGGAGCAGCAGTAGAAGCAGAGGCAAAGAGGCCTGGGGTCTAGGGCGAGGGGCCAAACACGAAGGGGCCTAGGGGCCGAGGGGCGGGGCGGAGGGGCCTAGGGGCGGGGCCGAGGGGCCAAACACGATGTGGGTGGGGGGGGCCAAGGGGCCGAGGTGCCAAGGGGCCGAGGGGCGTGGGGCCTAGGGGCCGAGGTGCCGAGGAGCCTAGTGGCGGGGCCGAGGGGCCTAGGGGCCGAGGGGCCAAACACGAAGTGGGGGGGGGGAGGGGGCCAAGGGGCCGAGGTTCCAAGGGGCCGAGGGGCGTAGGGCCTAGGGGCCGAGGTGCCAAGGGGCCAAGGGGCGGGGCCGAGGGGCCAAACACGAAATGGGGGGGGGTGGGGGCAAGGGGCCGAGGTGCCAAGGGGCCGAGGGGTGTGGGGCCTAGTGGCCGAGGTGCCGAGGGGCCTAGTGGTGGGGCCGAGGGGCCTAGGGGCCGAGGGGCCAAATACGAAATGGGGGGGGGGGGGGGGCAAGGGGCCGAGGGGCGTGGGGCCTAGGGGCCGAGGTGCCGAGGGGCCTAGTGGCGGGGCCTAGGGGCCAAACACGAAGTGGGGGGGGGGGGCCAAGGGGCCGAGGGGCGTGGGGCTTAGGGGCCGAGGTGCCGAGGGGCCAAGGGGCGGGGCCGAGGGGCCAAGGGGCCAAGGGGCCACGGCGCGGGCTAGGGGTCGACGGGCCGGGCGCGCGGGCTAGGGGTCGACGGGGCCGGGGCGGGGGCTAGGGGTCGACGGGGCCGGGGCGCGGGCTAGGGGTGGACGGGCCGGGGCACGGGCTAGAGGTCGACGGGGCCGGGCGCGCGGGCTAGGGGTCGACGGGGCCGTGGCGCGGGCTAGGGGTCGACGGGGCCGTGGCGCGGGCTAGGGGTCGACGGGGCCGGGGCGCGCGCTAGGGGTCGACGGGGCCGGGCGCGCGGGCTAGGGGTCGACGGGGCCGGGCGCGCGGGCTAGGGGTCGACGGGGCCGTGGCGCGGGCTAGGGGTCGACGGGGCCGTGGCGCGGGCTAGGGGTCGACGGGTCGGGGCGCGGGCTAGGGTTCGACGGGCCGGGGGCGGGCTAGGGATCGACGGGCCGGGGCGCGGGCTAAGGGTTGACGGGGCCGTGGCGCTGTCTAGGGGTCGACGGGCCGGGGCGCGGGCTAGAGGTCGACGGGCCGGGCGCTAGGGCTAGGGGCCGACAGAGCCGGGGCGCGCGGGCTAGGGGTCGATGGGCCGGGGCGGGGGCTAGGGGTCGACGGGGCCGGGGCGCGGGCTAGGGGTGGACGGGCCGGGGCACGGGCTAGAGGTCGACGGGGCCGGGCGCGCGGGCTAGGGGTCGACGGGGCCGTGGCGCGGGCTAGGGGTCGACGGGGCCGTGGCGCGGGCTAGGGGTCGACGGGGCCGGGGCGCGGGCTAGGGGTCGACGGGGCCGGGCGCGCGGGCTAGGGGTCGACGGGGCCGGGCGCGCGGGCTAGGGGTCGACGGGGCCGTGGCGCGGGCTAGGGGTCGACGGGGCCGTGGCGCGGGCTAGGGGTCGACGGGTCGGGGCGCGGGCTAGGGTTCGACGGGCCGGGGGCGGGCTAGGGATCGACGGGCCGGGGCGCGGGCTAAGGGTTGACGGGGCCGTGGCGCTGTCTAGGGGTCGACGGGCCGGGGCGCGGGCTAGAGGTCGACGGGCCGGGCGCTAGGGCTAGGGGCCGACAGAGCCGGGGCGCGCGGGCTAGGTGCAAGGGGCCGGGACGACGAGGCCTAGGGGCGCTCTGGCTAGGGGGGGCGACACGAGGGTCGCTAGGAGCAGTGCAGTGGTGGGCCCAAAGAAAAAAAACCAGTCCTAGCGGAGGACCTGCTCTGAAACCATGTCAAGAGAATGAACGAGAATGAACGAAATATGAAACAGTTGGGTACAAGTACTAACCCTAATTGGGTTGTACCCCATATGGGCTTCCCCACTATAGCCTACACAAATGTAAAAGCTATAATGTTCTGACAACATCTGCATCCAGGGTTTCCTAGGGGATGGTCACCCACTACGCCAAGCATATCCGCCCTATGCCTATGAACTCCCCCTCAGTCCGGCCCATGCTGTTAATATAGCGCTGCACAATGCGCGCTTGCCTGGAGATGGCGAGCGTATCACCAGAGCGACCAAGTTGAAGCTTGTTGCAAGTGGGGTGACGTAGCTTAAAACGAACCTGCACACAAGAGACAACAGAACACAAGTCTGTAAGATCACACATACAATAGAAACATTTGCATTAACAAATGCGACAAGACTCACGACTGCCAAAATGAGTAGGAGATGCGACGCATAGATCTCGAGTGGGCGGTCAGGGTCATCCTCTGTCACAAACAGGCGCGCACACGCCATGAAGACTGGGCTGGAAAAAAGGTGGCCGTTAAGCAGGTGCAACTCTATGCCCTTCAGCCCTGTGACAGAACCACAAAGCAAAGAACGGGCAACAATGACATACAGAGTAAGTACAGGAAGCTTTATTATAACAGTGTTTAAGCTTCACGAGAGTAATGTTGAGTTGCTGCAAACAGTAGGAACCATAATACAAGGAGCTAAACACAGGTAAACACTTACTGTTGCCGTACACACCCACATAAGCATGGCACCGGTTGGCGAAATCGTCCAGCTCCACAGCTCGTATGGTGCCGTTTGGTGCACGCTTAATCATGAACAGCTACGCGCCCCATATCAACCGCAAGCTCCTCCGGCAGCCTCTGTAGATCTTGCCAATGCGGTTGTTAAACCGCTTCTTCGTCTTTTTTACGATGTCCTTGTCTTTCAGGTGAGCCACAAGCCTCATAGCTTCGTCGCTGCTTGCCGTGAAACCTGCATGTGCTATGCGAAGTGAAAAATAGGGCGGCAGTCAGTAAATCAAATCGCAGGAAAAGCAACAAGTAGGAGCAATCGGCTGCTTACCGACTAGGCGTTGGACAACA